ATGTATATTTATTTTTCTACACCCACATGGATATTAGCTTAACTAAGCACAGATTACAAAACGAAAAAGTATGCTATTCCCTACAACTGAATGAATATATTTTATATCCATTCTAGCAAGTGAGAACACTGCAAAAAAATGAAATCCACCAATCACCGTTCATATTTTGATCAACCGAATGCTATTATTTTGAAAATTTTAAATAAGTGACTATTCTATCAAACTAATTGTCAGTATATGTTTTAGCTATTGAGATTAAACATACATGAACATGGATTGTCCTTGTGTAAAATAGATAAATAGCAGCATTTCTGTTTTTAGTTCGTCTAGAATTATAAATAATTTGTTAATTTAAATTAAACTATAAGTCAATTTAATTAAAGCAACAAAAATAAAGGAATATATGGTCCTGTGGTCAGCGTTATTGCCTTCCACACAGAAGACTCGTTAGTGGGTCGTAGAAAAAATATACTGTACAACTCGAGTGGATTGTTCACATCGCACTTAGACAATTCAAATTTCATCTTCGGGCGATATGGCCATCATATCCACTCTTATTGCACAAACTAATATTACATTTGCAAAGAAACCGTGCATTTTAGTAAAATTATCAATTTGTTGACGCAGAAAGTTTGACTTCCCGACCGGAAGCACCGGGTTCAAATCTCAGCTGAAGACAAATTCTTTTCAATTTTTTTAGATTTCATATTATAAGTAAAAGGCATTTATGTATTAAAATTTTTGTGTTAAAAATATGTATTTTATCTTAATAACCTTTAAAAACTTATTTCAAATGTTGCAGTTTTTATTTATTGCGGGTAATAGAAAAAATATACTACTCGTACAACTAGAGTGGACACACACAAAGTAGTAATTTTATACTATGCTATGGTTTAGTTTATTTTTCTTTTTTTAATACTAATTTACAAATTATTTGTATAACTTCCAATTTTTACTTTCCTGCACACTTTTCCTGCGTTAAAATCATCCCTGTTTTGGGAAAGTGAGGATTATCGATTGTCTAACATTAGCTTTTCCCGCATGATGATTGCAGTTTGAAGTTTTCACCGCCAGAGGGTGACACCTGTTTTCTTTTCTGTGTGTAACAGAATATTAGGTCAGCTGTTACGTGTTTGTTTATTAAAATGTTGTTATAATGTAACAGTTTATTGCTGGTTGTGTACTATATGGAAGTCATTATGTAGTATGTAAGTAAGATTGTATTTAAGTAGTTTTTATAAAAAAAATATATATCATTATTATTATTATTGAATATTTATTTCCGGATTCTATATATTTCAACAATAGCTACTAAATTTCAAAATGACGTAAAAGAATATGATTTAAATAATAATTAACCTATTTATTAATATTATTTATTGTGATTTAAAGTTTTTGATTATTTAGATAAAAAATATATTTATACTGAATATAATATTGTTGGATGATTATGAAATGTAGATTTGGAACTAGTTTTGTTTAATAATTCTTAAAATCCCAAAATTAAAAAGCAGATGAGTCCAACACATGATTGTCTAATTATTACTATTATAGGCTTTTTCCGGTTATTTTGTAAAACCCTTGTAAATGTTTAAAGGATAAACTAAATATATACATTTTCCACAAACCTACATTTTAATCGAATTTTTTTTATATAATATATTCATTGTCAAGGAAAATAATAAAAAATTAAAATTTTACACTTTTTCTCAAATTTTTCCATTACGGTCCATTTTAGAGAAATCATTTATAAAACAAAAATCATCAAAATCGATATCGCAAATAATTTTTAATTTAATCATTTCACTCCAGGATGGTTTAAATACCAAATTTAAAATTTGGTGTTTTTCTATTTATCCGTTTTTAAGTTTTATTAAAAATTAAAAATTTACACTTTTTCTCAAATATCTCGAATACGGTCCATTTTAGACTAATTGTGTATGGAATACGAATTATAGAAAATGATATAGCAAACATCTTTTATTCGAACAATTTACCTAAAAATTTAAATTTTTTATATTTTGTAAAATTTCTCGAATACGGATCATTTTAGAAAAATTTTTTTAACGATAGAAATTTATAGATAATACATAAGATTTTTATTTTATAAATTTTCTTCTCCAAACGTAAATAACAGATATATTCTAAAAACGACACACTATAAACAGAGACAACAGAGACGTGTAACTTAATAGGAAAAAGTGTTCGGTGGTCCATTTAAATTACATATATGACTTTCTTTCTCTTTTACATTGATCTTTACATATATTTATCTCCCTCCAATAAAACTAACACCAATTTAAGAGGTCGCCGATGTTGCTGGTTTTTTGACGTTGACGTATCGATTAAAACTGACAACTGACAATGTTATGAATGTTGTTATGAAAGTGTGCATTTTATTAAAATTAATTTAATTTGGGCCCCGTTTATTTCTTTGAGTCTGATTTTGTTGTTTAATTTTCTTTGGGGGGATTGTTTATTTTTGCATATTATTTTTTGCATGAAGCAATTTCTGGAACCAAACTCGCGTCTTTGTACACATTTCTTTCTAGAGGTAAGTAATTTCCAATTTATTACGAAAACCACTGTATAATGTGTGTGTTTAATAATATATTACAAAATGGCTATAATTATTTTAGGTGAATTGGAACAGAAATCCATTGTTACAGCTACTTTTGTTCATTAAGTAGGTAGATCAATGTCTGGACAGCTTTAATGGTACCACAAAGTTCCTACCTACTAGAAAAGTAAAATGTATAGGGAGTAAAAAATCTGCACATGTAGTATTGGCAAAAACTTTTGAAATGATTAGAGATTGGCTATTTCTTACATACACCTACCTCTAATAGCCACTCTAAAGGAAGAAAAAAAAAATTGAATCACAAAAGGGCAGAATTTTAAATCAGGATGCATTGGAAAATAAATTTGGGGACATCAGGTCGGTTTTGGATTTTAGAGAGAGATCAATCTCAAGAAAAGTTTAATTTATCCTGCAGAACAACCAGTAGTTTAAGTAGGATTTGCTATAACTTTATTAGAAGATTTCCTTGATAATAAATTGTAATATACCAATTGTTTCAAATAAAATTGAAAAAGAGTTAAATACGAAATTAGATTTTTCATGGGTAAAATGTTATATTCATTCAAACATTGTAAGGTAATCTGTAATTAAGGGAATGTGGAAAATAGGTATACCCTGGTGGTGTAAGAGACAGGTAAGGGGCAATGACAAAAAAATTACAAAAATGTATTCATCTTTAAATAGTGTTTATTATTATTATTTGCTATGTTTGAAAAGTACCTCCTGCTGCAGAACAGATCGAATAGATTAGACTACTAGTTGGAAAAGGTCCACCTAGTAACCAAATTAGGAGACTAGGAAAACTTTTACATGACTGGGGACACAACAGGAATGCACACGCACAAGATACACAAACAAACGAAATAACAGGGGCAAGCCTTCAGCAATGTCCTGTTTAAATGATGATAGTATGTCATCCTTCATTCCCTTTCAGAAGGCATGGCATATAAATCTATTGATCTTGATGATCCTAAGAGGAGTTAGCAGGGGGTGTACGGAATGGGTCTAGCAGGTTTCGATCCAGTTTACAGGATGGGAACTTACTCAACTCGGGCCTTATACATTTGTGTTGAGTGTATGTGTGTTCGTTTTGTTTCCATGGTTTCTATTAAAATAAACAGTCATAACATATCCATACCTTTTTGCCAGACTAATGTAAGTGACATTTGTTTAAATGGCACTTATGATAGTCTGGCAAAAAGGTATCGATATACTCTATAGTTTATAAAATATTTGTTACATTCGTTTTTAAATATATTTTGAATATATAACAACTGTTACTTTCTTTGTAATTTGTCACAAAATGATAGGAGGTACTTTCTAAATGAAGCAATTGTAGTTTTTTTTTCTGTACCTTACAAAAATATAATTTATAGAAAAAGAGTTTGGTGTATTATTTTTCCAAGTTTAAATATTTAATAATCAATAGAATTTTCAAGTTTTTTTAGCGAAATTTACAAGAATAATAAAAACTATGTTCACTGCTTATATTAAACTGATTAAAACTTCCTTTATTAAAATGATTATTTATATGATAAAAAAATTGATGTTATTGGAAGCTTTAATATTTTTCAATATACAGTGAAACAATAGTTTTTGTTTCTCCTGTAAATTTGTATAGAAAAACTATTTATTTCTGAATCCATGTTTGAATTTCCCGCCCTAAAGCATTATTAATTTTCCCGCTATTTACTAGTGGCGCCATCATAGACTGGTTGTGATTACAATCGAACAAATAACTTTTACCGAACAAAAAAAATACATTGAGTTACAAGTCTCGCTGGATTGTCTCTGCTATAAAGTACTCTCAGATGTTCCGACATTGCCCAAACTTTAATCAGTTCATCACAGGCCGAAATAAAGATTAAGTTTAAATTTGGTGTTTTTCTCTCTATCCGTTTTTGAGTTTTCTTCAAAATTCGAAATTTACACATTTTCACAAATATCTCGAATACGGTCCATTTTAGAGAAATTATGTATGGGACAAGAATTGTAGAAATTAATATTTACTTTTATTTTAATAATTATATTATTAAAAATTAGATTTTTTTTACATTTCGTCAAATTTCTTGAATACGGACCATTTTAGAAAAATTTTGTATGAGACAAAAATTATAGAGAATGACATTAAAAATAACATTTTTTTTTCTTCAAGCGTAAATAACAGATATATTTTATAAAATATAAAAACGACCCTGTATAAAGTACCCTAAATGTGTTCCGACTCTGCGCACAATCTAATCAGTTCACCGCAGGCCGGAATAAAGCCCAAATTAAAAATTTGGCGTTTTTCTCTCTATCTGTTCATGAGTTATCGAGTATTTATACAGTCACATACAATTTCTGTATTACTTTGTTTTTAATAATTTGACAACAAAATGCCTAAAAAAATTGTTGATTTATTTTATATTATTTTCAGATTAATATTTATCGGCTTCCAACCACTTTTCTACTTCTCCAAAAACTAACGAATAATGAAGTAAGAACACTATGACCAGCTTACGCTTAATAAGTCCTTTAAAATTCCTGCTAGCGTTCTCTTCTGCATCCTTCATTGTACTTCTTTTTTTTGTTACTTCAAACTACAACACCACTCCACCCGTCCAGGTAGATAGATCATTCAACAATGAAATGCGGGGAAACAGGTAATTTAATTATAATTTACAAAATACACTATTTCTTTTTTATTTTTTATACAAGGTGTTCCTTAATGTTGATTTAAGCTACAATAGCTCTCGTAAGCTGTAGAAGAATATGTGGGAAAAACTGGGGTCTAAACCCCAAAATGACTATATGGTTATACACAAGGGTAATAAGACCCATGCTAACCTATGGCGCAGTGACGTGGGTAACCAAAACTGCGCAGGCAAGTGCAATAGGCCAACTCACTAGCATTCAGCGGCTTGCCTGTCTAAGTGCTAAGTGCACTACGCCGACCGCAGCAATGGAGGTATTACTAAATCTCACGCCACTGCACATCTTCATACAAGGAGAAACCAGGTCAGCCATTCACAGGCTAATGCAGGGACAAAACCCAATAAGCCAACTACATAGCGCCGACCACACAAGGCTATATCAGCAAGTAAAAAGGGATAATATTCTAGCTATGCCTACTGATAGAGCCATAACCAAATACAAATTTGAAAGAAATTTTCAAATTCAAATACCAGCCCGAGAATCCTGGAAACAGGGACCTCCCGTATAGATTGAACTCGTCTGGAACACAGACGGTTTAAAAACCAAGGAAGGAGCCGGTGCTGGAATCTATGGACCTAAGTCGAAATCAACGATTTCACTGAGCTTAGGAAAATATGCAACAGTGTTCCAGGCTGAGCTTATAGCCATACAACACTGTGCAAGAGAAATATTAAATTAGCAAGTATCAGGCAAAACTATTGCCATATACTCTGATAGCCAAGCAGCTCTAAAGGCAATTCTCTTACCAGAAATCAAATCACGACTGGTGAAAGACTGTCTAGAAGACCTGACAGAGCTAAGTAGTCAAAATAAGGTGACCTTAGCCTGGGTTCCAGGCCATGAGGGATATCAGGGCAACGAAAAGGCCGACGAATTAGCCCGAGAAGGCTCAGATAAGGCCATGACAGGCCCCAAACCCTTCTGTGGAGTTGCTAAGGCATTGTGCAATGCATCCATTAAACAATGGATGCAAAAAGAGTCTCAAGAATAATAATAATAATACTCTCCCTAATTCACCCCCTTACGAGTGAATTTCAACCCCTGAAGTCGACTGAACGACTTGTGTAGGGGAAGGGACGACTATTATTATTATTATTTGCCGTGACGCTCCGGAGCGACTTAAAGATGATTGATGGTGCCATTTGACTTACAGGTGAGGAAAACCCGGAAAACCTCACCCACCATCATAAGAATGGTGGAACAACTATCCAAGACTAAGACAGGCCAAACAGTTCATCAAGGAACCATCGGCCAAGTTTACGAAAGACCTACTGGATCAAAAGCGTCAAATCGTTAGGATAACAGTAGGCCTTCTTACTGGACACTGTCGCCTCAAAAGGCACACGAGTGTCATAAATCCAGCAGAAGAAGCAACTTTGTGCAGGTTCTGTGAAGAATAAGAGGAAACATCATTCCACGTCCTGTGCCAATGTGAAGGCTTGGCTGGAATGAGGTTTCTAACATTGGGCGAAGAAAATCCAATTGCATGCAACTACATGCGGGAGCCACTGTCAAAGCTACTAAGTCTAATAAAAAAGACCAGGCTAGACGACATGCTCTAAAACAAACGGAGTCCCACAATAGATCTGAAAAGGTCGCGGTGGACAAGGACAAATAACGTCCAACTAATCTAATCTAATGTTGATTCAATATTGAAGGAAGTAGATAATTTTACTATTTGACATCTGGAGAACGCGCGGACCAGGTTATGAGACCTCCTCTTTCAGTCCATTGGCGAAAAAATCGCCGGTCCAAATACTAGCACATTTTGAAACCAAAATATGGAAGTGTACCGTCATGTTATTTCTAATATTTAAAGGGTCATTTTCTAATAATAAAGGAAAAACATTTGTAAAAAATAGAGATAAATATCTGCGTTCAAACTAGCAGGCAGAAAGTGAACTATCAGATTATCTCCAACAGTACCAGCCCAAATCTATACAGAAAATTGTTGCTCGTGTCTTCTAAAGATCACACTTATGCTTCATCAATAAACAATACTTTTCTCCTGAAGCGAGGGTTTATAGTTATGATCCAAAAACGTTTGACAAAAACATAGTCCATATGGACAATCTTCAAGATTTATAGATCTTAGAACGCTATACCATCATCGATTTGGAGGTTCCCGTATGGTGTGCAATTGCGTGAATACTTGTGGACTGACTATCCTCCTCACGGTGTAGAACTCTTTCTTCAAATTGATCCCTACAAGCTGTTCTTGAACGCCTTATGTTCCCCCTTTTTCTAAGGCGGCGATAAATGGAAGGCAATGTAGTATGATGAGCTTGCAGTCGTTCCAGATATATTTGTTCATACAAACGTGCGGCTTCTCTTCCATTACAGTTGGCCGCACCCTAAGAGAGGTGCATATCACTGCCCTATTTTGTATAAGAGTCGTATCTGCATTTTCAAAAGTTATAAGAAAATCACGAAAAAGTGTTAATCTTTTATCTTAACAATTATTTATTCTGGAAATTAAAGTTAACAAGTTGTATAACATTTTTTTCATAGAGCTTGAATTGTAGACTTGTTTTTTGCAAATTTAGAGCTTAATGATGTTTTTATTAGTTACGACAAATATGTTCAACAACGAGCAACTAAAATGTTAACATGATTAGTCGTAAGTGACCATCTATAGAAAAATAACAACAGTTCGAGTTAAATGTTTATTATAACATCAGTTTTTTAAATAGGCATCTTTGAAATGAGATATGTTTAATTCCCAGGAGCTCCTCAAAAAATAATAAACTACTCTGTGTAACTCAAACATTTTCGGTATTTAACTAAAACAACATTTCTAATTGTAACTAAAAACAAAAACACTTATGCCTAATAAATTCACAGTAATGTTATATCAACTGAGATTTTTATTAATGTACTCATCTTCTTGTACAAGATTTTCGGAAACATGCAAATTATTTTAAAAGTTTATTCTAGTAATGGAAATAATTCCACGAAGTCGGTTTATGAGAGTGTCTTTTCTAGCTTGATTTATGCTACGATATTTAGGCTTTTGCGAACCATTCTTTTGGTGTTTTACTACTAAAAAATTTATTATTGTTGCTTCTTGTTAATCAAATTTGCATTTGTAGGATAATGACTGCTTTCCATTTTCAAAATTAACCTTCACCATATCACTTATACAGGGTGAGTTGGGAGGAGCGCACCAAACTCTAGGAGTATATTATACACGTGAAAATAATGTAAAAAAACTCATGTTTTTATCCGATTTTCATTTGTTTTCAAGTTATGGCGTAATTAAAAATGTTCATCTAGCTTTCCACTTCTGAATTTTAACATTATCAAAGTATGTCATATGTTCAAGGCTCAAAGGCATTTGATAATTTTGACGTTTTGATGAACTGTCAGTGTACAGTGAACAGTAACTGAACGTTTTATTTCGAATTTATATGATTGTTAGTGTTGCAAAATGTCAGATACTTATTTAAATTTAGAATATGCAAATATGGTGTTTGTTTATGGTTTCTGTAATGGAAATGCTACAGCTGCTGCTGAAGAATATCGTCAACGTTTTCCACACCGAAGACATCCTGATAAAAACGTATTTATTAGAGTTTTCAACAAATTATGCGAGACTGGTAAGCTTCCCAGTGCTTTCATAACATCTGAACGCGATACTCGACAAGGTTTTGTAGAAGTAGAAAATATTCTGCATCTAGTAGAAGAAGATGCAACTACTAGCTCACGGAGAATTGCCACTCAATTGGGAATTTCACAAAAAAGAGTGATAAACACACTCCACGACCAAGGCTTATATCCTTATCACGTACAGAGAGTACAGCACCTACAACCACAGGATTACGCTAACCGTATGGAGTTTTGTCGGTGGATAAATTATAATCATCGTGTTGTATCGAGTATACTCTTTACGGATGAAGCTATATTTACCCGTGATGGCATTAATAATACTCGTAACTATCATGTATGGTCATACGAAAATCCCCACGCAACAGTCGAAAGCAATTTTCAACATCGGTTTTCTGTAAACGTGTGGTGTGGTATGGTTGACAGTTATTTAATTGGTCCTTTCATTTTGGAGAATCGTCTCACAGGAGACAACTACCTCAATTTTTTACAAAATGAATTACAAGGCCTGCTAGAGGATGTTCCTGTAAATATTAGAATGCAGATGTACTATCAGCACGATGGAGCTCCTGCACATGTCGCTTGTCAGGGCAAGCAACATTTGGACAAACGTTTTTCAGGGCGTGGAGGTCCTATTAATTGGCCTGCAAGATCTCCAGACCTGACACCATTAGATTTTTGTTTATGGGGCTGGATGAAAAATGAAGTCTACAAAATAAAAGTGGACACACGGGATGCACTAATTAGACGAATTGAGAATACTGCAGCCCATATTAAAGAAGAAAGAAATGAATCAATTAAGAGAGCAACAAACGCTATTCGTAGACGAAGCAGAAAATGTTTTTAGAAGTCAATGGCGGTATTTTTGAACATTTATTGAAAGAACGCTATGATTAAGAGAATTTTTATGTGTAAATTTGTTTATTTGTTAATATGCTATAACTTGAAAACAAATGAAAATCGGATGAGAACATATGAGTTTTTTTACATTATTTTCACGTGTATAATATACTCCTTGAGTTTGGTGCGCTCCTCCCGACTCATCCTGTATATGGCCGAGGATTTATTCTGCTTAATTTATATTGAGAACTCTTGTCTTCCCAATTAAAAAATTGTTAATGTTCATTTCAATCAATTTCACTTTCGACGAGTTTGCTTTTTGAACTGCATCTTTGTAATCTCCGAAATCATATGCTTTAAGGCCTTCTCTACCTGGTGATGGAAAGAATCGGCTGATATAAACGTATGCCTCGGTTCAAAATATTTTAAAGTTAAAGAGTTTAAAGCAACGTTAGCAGAATTTACTAGATATACGCAGAAACTAAAGAAGGCTCAGTTGCTG